ACACAGTCGTACTCACGTCCTCTCAGTGAAAGTGCGTAGACATTTTGGAGACAACTCTATGTGTCTTTTATTTAACGACGTAATGTTAATTTTTAAAGGTGTCGGTGGCAGTGGTAGACAAAGTGCAGCACGCCTGGCAGCCCATATGTCTGACTTTGAGTTCTTCACCATCGAGATTTCTCGTAACTACGGCGTGAATGAATGGCATGACGACTTGAAACGTCTGCTAGTCAAGGCTGGAGTCACTTGCAAACCCACTGTCTTCTTCTTCTCCGATGGGCAAATTAAGAAGGAGTCCTTCATGGAGGATCTGTCCATGCTTTTGAACTCAGGTGATCTGCCAAACCTGTTTCCGGCGGACGAGAAGGCCGACATTTTGGACAAGATGCAAAACATCGCGAGGGGAGAGGTAAGGCTTCACAGTTTGTTTGCTTGTTCGTTGCAAAGCTTTTAACTAGCTACCATCTTTTAATGTTGGGATTGTGCGCCTGTAAGTATTCATTTCAAACCATATGTTGTTCTTTTTTTTCATTTCATCAGGGTCGAAAGATCGATTCAACGCCCTTGGCCATGTACAACTTTTTCATTGAAAAGGTGCGGAAGAATTTACACATAGTACTAGAAATGAGTCCAATTGGTGATGCTTTCCGCACGCGCCTTCGTATGTTCCCCTCGCTCATCAACTGCTGCACTATCGACTGGTTTCAGGTTCGTTTAACTTCCCGGCCTGGGAATTTGAATTTCATCCTTCTTTAAAAACGTAAAAACGTCTGACAGTCATAATTCCCTGAAAATTGAAAGGAATTTTCCCGGAGGAAACTTGAACAAGACGCAGCAGAATTTATTGATGTCATACAATTTCGCAACCTCTTATTCAACTGCAAGCGGTCATTGCCTATTAATAAGATAAATTAACTGTCCCATTAAGTATTGACCTAGAACCCTAATAGCAAATCCAACTTGACACGAATCCGATTCCAACTCTACAATCACTCAACAATGTAGAGTCCTAATTTTCAGCCGAGCAGGGGGTACCCTTTTCCTCGCCAAAACCCCCCAATTCGAAACGCAGTAAATAAGTACTTTTTGGAGACGTTTAAATGTTGGAACAGTGTATTATGTAGAAAAATATGGTTAAAAACGGTAGAAAAAATGTACAAAACGTAAAATATAATCTGGGTAAAGGTTTTGGGTGCGCTATTTACAATTCGGTACTGAAAGTAGGGGTAATATTATCCATTTGGGAAGAGAAAAGGGTACTGGTGGTGGGGCCTGGGTCGTTGTCGTCCCGGCGATTGTTTTCTGCAAGACCAACTATACATTGGTCGATTAGGAATAAGGAAACATTGATGAGGGCAGTATATAGAATTCGTTCAGCAGAATGTCTGATTGAACTCACCATTGTCCCGAAACCGCTTGGGAATCAAATAATCTCTCCGTCGGAAACGGTGATAAGCCTTCTTTAAGGCTCTCTGGAAGGCCTTTGGGACAATGGCTGGGTCCATATTGTGTAATCGGCACCAGTCCCTGCGATAAAATGAGATCATAGGGTTT